CCCACCCCCATCAAAACATAAAAAAGCAAAGTAAAGGCTAAAACCTAAAAAATAAACACAAGGAAAAAAAATAAAATATAACTGAAACATGTCAACTGTGCACCACTTTCCAAATGCCAGCAAACACCGAAATTTTGATCACACAACTGACCCTCTCAACTTTGGCCACTTCCAGAACTGACCTTCTCAACTTTGGCCACCTCCACCGACTCCTTCTCAATGACCACCATAATTTCTGACACTTCTTTGGAGGCAACAACCAACTGAGGCTGCAGATCTGTCAGTTCCTTCTGCATAGTGGACACCTGGGAGGCAGCAGAGTCTAGTTTTTCCAGACCCACTTCGTAGCGCTTCTTTTGCTTCATCACTTCCCTGAAGAAGGAAGGAAAACGTAGCGTTTAAGAAGAAAACTCTAGACGCTGAAATGAAATAATTTCACCTTTGATAGTTGATATTAGAACTGTGTTTACCAAAAATCTTTTTTTGTCTCGATTTCCATGTCTCTAAGACCTTAAAAAATAAACAGGGTTTTCCCATTCAACACAACCATTCCTATAACAAAAACAAAATCTACTGTCATTCTACCAAAATGTAATAAGATCACGTTTATGTGTGCTTCCTCTAACACCACACTCCTACCTCTTTCTCTTCTCTAGTTCTCTTTTCATTTTCTTTCTTATTTCCTTCATTCTCTAAAAAAAAGAGTTCATAGCCCTGTTCCAAAATAGACCAATCTTCTTTCCTTCTCAATCATCTCAAAGTTATTGTTCGGTTGGGCCTAATTAGCTGGGTATAAACATTCAAACAATCCTTTTATTTTGTCTCAATCCACCTCTGTTAAACGTGGTTTTTCATAATCATCTGCCCCTCATGTCGAATTAACTGAATGAAATAAAATAAATAAAGCAAGTTAACCATTTACAATGTTTTTTTCTTTCCACAAACAGTTTGAAAGTAGCCAGTCAACTGAAGTATTAAGTTTCTTTTTTCCTCATGACATAAACCTGAGCTCAGCCCTCTGGTTCTGCCCGCTCCTCCCCCACCCTCCACACCTGAGCTCTTGTGCACCGACTCCTAGAAATACGCCACAATACGTCTGAAGGAATTCAGAGAGCGGAAAAGTAAAGGTCAGCCTGCTCAGGCTTTTGCTTGGGTCCATCAGGTGACCCCCTCCCACCTCCATCTTTATTCAAAATTAATTTTAAAAAACAACAACTTCATGGAATACCATTTTGATCGTCAGTCCTTTTTCATAATACTCTTAAGTTCATAATGTAATTTGCATATTGTCATTAATTGTGCAGTGAGAGTATGAATGTCTTCTTATGTATTAGCATCAATCTTAAGAGTGTATTTATGGATATTCATGCACATGTATTCTATAGTAAGGTGAAAATATTTTAAAAGGCACCAGAGCTGTATAAAACAAGAGAGGGCACTACAGAAACGAATTGTGTTAGGAAGTGTTGGAATCATGCACTTGTCAATTTTTGGGCATGTTGAGTTATTGGTATCATCTTAAAGCATTTTCCGTTTGTCTTTCTTTAAAGCAAAAAATATCTATTCATCTTGGATACAAGTTGAGATATTGGCGATTGAAGGAGGTGGGGGTTGCCAGATTTCAGAGGTAAAATTATCGAGAAAATGGCAGCCAAAGTTAGTTATTTCTTTTGCTTGAGAGTTAGTGGAAAAAGAAAATTTATTTTTTGTACTTTTAATCAACGTTTTTCAGTAAAATCCACGCAGAAATGTGTTTTTTAATGGGCATGACAGGTGTTGAGCCCCCCCCCCCCCCCCCCCCCCGCCAAAACTAGATTAAAATGCCCAAACGCGCGGGAAAATGCCAGTTTCTTTACTTTCATTATTTTGATGAGCGACTGATTTCACCACGTTGACTCACATATTGTTATTATGATTTAACAAAAGCACACACGAAAAGAAAACAAACAAGGCAAAGGCAATAAGAGAATCTATAAGAACTCTTACTCTCTTTTCCTCCCCAGCAGGGTCTTAAAGGTGCTGATCAACTCCAGATAGGAGGTAGGAGTCACATAGTTATGTCTCTCCAACTCCAGAAGGAACTTCTCCGACACCTCACGTGTGGATGTGTGGAAATGCTTGCACATGCGGATACAGCCAGCCCGCTCCTCTTCTCCCATCTCAATCTCCTCCAGAAAACGAGAGGCAACGGCCTGCAGGGCATCTTCAGGCCAGCTCTGGGAAAGGAGGCACATTTCGGATGAGGTGTGTTTCAAATGAGGCACGTTTCGAATAAGGCATGTTTTAAATGAGGCACGTATTGAATGTGGCACTTATCAAATGAGGCACGTTTCGAATGAAGTATGATTCAAACGAGGCATGTTTTAAATGAGGCATGTATTGAATGAGGCATGTTTTAAATGAGGCGCGTTTTGAAATTAAACTTGAGTCTTTTACCCACAGCACTTCATGGTATTGGACAAAAAGGTGAGTTTGAGCAAAAGGAGGCAAACCAACACAATAACAGTCATTTCAATTCAAGGAAAGCCTGAGGCAGGCAGGCAGGCAGGCAGACACACAGACAGACAGGTAAATGACACGACCAAAAGTAAGAAACCATAGAGTCAGTTTTGGGCTAAATCAACTTTTCAGTCTTAATTACTTTTTCTAAACACACACTAAAACAGAGAAGAAAAAAAAACACAATTAAAGGAAAAAAAAATACACAGAGCATGAAATTACAACTCTGCCATGGTCTATAACACAGACATTGATTTTTGGCATATTAAAATCTGAGCAGAGAAATGAGCAGCAAACCATGACTGTCAATGTCTGTTCCAAGATCTAGCACTTGAAGAAGCAGAAGGAGGATTGGGAACAGAAAATTACCAGATATAATACGGGCATGTTTAGTTTAGAACAACGTATGCACCTGGAACCAGTCGATTGTGCAGCAGTTCACCAGAGATGGGAACTTCCTGAGCCTGTTGCGGAAGGCGTCCCCAATGGGGCTCATGGCGAGCACAATGTGCAGCTGGTCTCGCACACGTGACACAAAGAGGTTGAACAGCGCCACCAGGGAACCGTCTGTCTGCTTTGTCTTGTCCCTTTGCCTGAAAGAGAGAGTGTCAGTTATTTTAGTAACGGTTTTACAGCGCTTGTAACTGCGTATGGTCACATGAGCATGCTGAGAACAGAGAGAGACAGACAGACAGAGAGAGAGAGACAGATATATAATATATATATACAGAGAGAGAGAGAGAGAGAGAGAGAGAGAGAGAGAGAGAGAGAGAGAGAGAGAGAGAGAGAGAGAGAGATACATATACACACACAGGGAATCACCTTCACAAACAAATGTCCACACATTCACTCAGAGACGCGTGCATATAGGCATGTATGTCCTCGCACACATACTAATGATATTATATTGAAACTCACAGCCAAATAAAGAATACCATTCAGCAAATAAACAAAAATTTGAAAACACATTCAAGCGGCCCTCAGTCCTCCAAAAAGACACACACACACACAAACACACACACACACTCGCGCGCACACACACTCATAAACATACACAAGCAAGCACACACATGCATACATATCATATTAATACACATGCACAAACAGACACAGATGCAAATATACACACATACAGAGAGAGAGAGACAGATAGATAGATAGATAGATAGAGAGAGTGTGTGGGTGAGAGGGAGAGAGAGAGAGAGAGAGAGAGAGAGAGAGAGAGAGAGAGAGAGAGAGAGAGAGA